ATGCCAACTGCCCTTGAGATTAAGGACGCATGCTTATAGCATGTCCTCTAAAATCTAGATGGTTCTCTCTGACTTACCATTTATCTAGGGATAAAAAATGGTACACATCATCAACTACGTTCCCATAGCCTGCTGAAAACTCTCCCAAAAGTGGATCGTGAACCAGGGATCCCGATCCGATACTATAGATAAAGGTACCCTGTGCAATCGAACTATCTCCGAAATATACAACCTACAAAATTCCTCCAATGTGATGGTCATTCGCTCAACTAAAAAGTGTGTCGACTTCACAAGTCGGTCCACTATCACTCACACTGCATTATGCCCCTATGATGTCCATAGTAAGTGGGTCACAAAATTTATAGTGACATGTTCTCACCTCTATTTTGCCTCCTCCAAAGGCAGGAGCAACCCCGTTGGTCTCTGGTGCTTAGTCTTAATCTACTGACATGTGAGACATTGACTATTAAAGTTTTCAATGTGTCTCTTCATCCCGCTTCAATAGTCCTAGCAACGAAGATCATGGTACATCTTTGTGCCACCTAGATATATAGCAAAATGGGAGCAATGAACCTTCCTAAGAATTTTCTCTCTCAGATCCATAGACTGGGGAACCAAAACCCTTTCCTTGAATCGAAAATTACTATCTGTGTGAATGGCCTAGCCCTTATCTCCCGTACCTGACTATACCCGAACCCTGATGGACAATATCTCTATGTCTTGCCCCTGGAACTCGATTAATCTAGTTAGTAGGAAAGGCAGAGCCACCAAACTCCCCAAAGTACCCTAAGTCTAACTCCTATAGTATAGTCTGAACTGCCCCATAGTCTCGATAGGATTTCCAAGGCAACCTTCCATACAAAAACTGGACCTAAGGACTGGGTATTGACAAGTTAGGATTGTAGAGGGATATGAGTCTAAGATTGCGTATGTGACGTGTTGTGGGTCTTTTGAATTCCTTATAATGCTATTTGGGCTTACAAATGCCTCAGAAACTTTCCACAATCTAATGAATGATGTCTTTTATAAGTATATTGATGTCTTTATGGTTGTGTATTTGGATGATATTATGGTCTACAGTGAGACATTGGATGATCACTTAAACCATTTGAGGACGATGTTCTCACGATTTAGAGAGCACTTGTTGTATGTCAAAAAGGAGAAATGTGAATTCTACCATCAAGAAGTGATGTTCTTGAGGTACTGAGTTAGTAAAGGCCAAATTTGGATGGATAAGATGAATGTGAAGGTAATCGTCGATTGGCCTGCACGAACCAAGGTGCCTTAATTGTGGTCATTTCTTGTCCTAGCTAATTATTATCGCAAGTTCATTGAGGAATATTTCAAGAAGTGTAATGTCTTAACTGACTTGCTAAATAAAGATAAAAAATGAGACTGGAATGGTGCCTGTGAGACAACTTTTGAGAAGCTGATACATGTAGTATCTTCTGCACCTATGTTGAGACTGGTTGACTTTGATCTTCCATTCAAAGTGTAGACAGATGCGTCTGATCGTGCCATTGGAACAACACTTGTTCAGAAAGGACACCCTATTGCCTTTGAAAGCCATAAATAAAAAGATACTGAGAAGTGATACTCAGCACACGAGAAGGAAATGACTGTTGTGGTGCACTGCCTTAAAATTAAGAGGCATTACTTCTTGGGAACAAAGTTCACCATTGTGACGGACAACATGGAGAACACCTATGTCAAATCCTAGAAGATATTGACCCCGAAGTATGCCCAATAGCAAGAATTCCTTGCTAAGTACGATTTTTTTTTACTGTCAAATATGCATACTAACTTCCTTGTAAGAGTCAAAAAGTATGTCTAGACTGATGTTGCTTATGACAAATTGAAGCAGGAAGTTGACGAAGGTCAGGTGCGCAAATATTGGTTGGATGATGACTTGATTTATGCCAAAGGTGGTAAACTCTATGTTCCTGCAAGATGGGAACTAAGGCTAGAGTTACTATGTGAAACACACGAGTCTCAGTGGGCTGGACATCCCAGAGTAGAGAGGATGCTTGCATTGTTATCTCGCTTCTATTACTGGGCCAAAATGGAAGATGACGTTAAGGCCTACGTCAGGACTTGTCTTGTGTGACAACTTGACAAGGTTGAAAATAAGAAGACAACTAGTTTACTTCAGCCACTGCCCATCTCTAACAAACCGTGACAATTAGCCATAATGGATTTCATAAGCAACCTACTAAAGGTTGATGACATGTGTTCAATCATGGTGGTGGTCAATCGTTTCTCCAAGTATGTTGTGTTCGTTCTTGCACCTCATGCATACCCTGTAAATGTTGTTGCATAATTATTCTATAAGTATGTGGTGAATTGCTTTAGTTTGTCGAAGACATAGTCAGTGATCGCGACACAAGGTTCATTGTCATATTCTGGACAGTGTTGTTCAACCTCATGGGTTTTGAGTTAAAGTTCTCCATAGCAATTTATCCTCAAACAGACGTACAGACTAAGTAGATCAATGCCTTGCTGGGGGATTATCTGCAGCAACATAGTCAGAAAAATTAGGTGGAACTGGTGGACACTACTTATTTTTGTTACAACTTGCACAAATCTTCGGCTACAAGAATGAGTTCTAGTGAATTAGCTATGGGACAACAACCATTTACTCCTCAAGAAGTGGTGAAAACAAAGGACTAGAGGTAAATGTCCCGCTACATATTGATTTGCTCGTTCCAAGCAAGAGTTGCTTGATGAGGCAAAGGATAGCTTGGCTAAAGCTACCCTCTGAATGAAGAAGTATGTTGATTAAGGTCGCAGACCGCTGAAATTTCATATTGGTGACCTAGCCTTGCTAAAATTGACTATTGTAATATGAAAAAGGATCAACAGTAAGGTAGTTATGTTCCGAAATAAGATGACCCTTTCGAAGTGATGAAAAAGGTTAGGAATGTTGCCTACTACTTGAAGCTGCCTGATCGAGTTTTCTGAATCCTTTTCCATCATAGACCACAAACAAAAGCCTTTACTAGACTAAGAAAGGTGGCCTCAAAAAAGCTTTTCAAAAGACTTGACCCTCGAAGAGCTGACCCAAGCAAGGGCATTTCGGTAGTTGGTGGGTCAAGACCAGTTGGGGATTTTTCTAAGGCTCCTTTTGACCTCAGCTCCATAACTAACACTGATACAAAGAAGGAGACCAGACTAGGGGAGGAGAAAAGGAAGAAAGTCAAGGGATTCATTCTTGCCTATAATTAGGAAACAGTTTGATAAGGAGGTCGACAAGATTTTGTCTCATAGGACCATGGGTTAGAGTAAGAAGAATTAGAGGACTGATTTTCTAGTATTGGAAGGTGGTTTCGAGGTAGACGTGAATTGGGAAAGAGATGTGACTCTTTGATAGTTTGAGAAACAAATCAAGAAGTATTGAGACACCTTCTTAACGAAGACGTCGAGCTCTTCTAGTGGGCGTGATTTATTACTCCCTTAGTTCGTTGGCTTGGTATTGACATGTGGCTGCCTTGCCTAAAAGCACCCATGCCTTAGCCAAATTGGGTTATACTTGGTGAAGTAAAACTTTAGTGCAAAGTTGATTTCCTAAGAACTTGGATGTTTACTTGGTTGAGTAACAAAGTGATTCAGAAAAGGCTCAAGTGACATGTAGCGATTATGCCTCTGACTCAAGTTGTTATAATTTCTCGGCTCAGAGTATATTCATTGCTATCAATGCGTTTTTGCTAATGCTATTATAAGGGGGTGCTCCGCAAAGGCGGTACTAGGTCAACCTCCTTAGGGACCCTTATACTCTTAAGCCTTAGCACAGCAAAGCAAGACATGTCCTCAAACAAATGTTTGCTATGGGTGAGGCAAGACATTCCAAAGTTTGAGACTCGAGATGTGGGGCCGATGATCAATGAAACCCGTTGTTGGGAGAAGCCCCATGCATGGCTAAGGAAGACAGTTCATGCATGGGCACATTAGGCATGACTAGTGGGTTGATTGAAGCCCCATGCATAGCTAAGGGAGACAGCTTATGCATGGGCATATTGGGCACAATCAAGCAAGCAAGACTAGTTGGGGTGACTCAAATTTATGGGGCATTGCTAGCTTGGAAAGACCAAGCCATGAGCTGGATATGACTTGACATGAAGACAATGCTAATTTAGGTGTTGCGAGCTCGCAAGAAAGACACATGCATAACATGTGAGGTGATTCTGAACGATTGAGGCATGTGCCCTGCAGGTGGTAGCGGTTCTAGATAGTTGTTGGGATGTGCTTGACATGCATGTCGATTTTGTGCAGAATACTGACATGTGCACAATATGAGGGAATTGCTAACATGTGCACACATCATGCACAACAGTTATGGGCAGTTGCTGGTTAAGTCAGCTAACAATTGCCCCTTTATCAGAACCATCAAATTGTGGGAGTGACAAAAGGTTTTAGCCATGATTAGTAGGGTCTTGTGGCCGAATTTGATGTATGCTTACATTGCTTAGGCGATTGGGCATGTAACCACCATTTTGTATGCTATATAGGCAGGTTGGGGTTTGTAGTGCAACCAAGAGAGTTGAGCGTGTTTTATAAGTAGACCCCTGACTAAGTTTCCTTTAGGCTTTACTGAGAAACAAATTTGGCCAATTGACTAGTAAAACTTGTGTACTGTTGTGAGTTTGTGTGCTTACCTACCTTTTGTTCGTGTGTGTATTTGTGTGAGTATTTAAGTGCATTGATTGAGACTGAGTGTGGGATTTCAGTGTTATCATCGTACACTGTGACTCACCTTACCTTTTTGGTTACAAACAACCCCCCCCCCCCCCCCCCCCCTTCTCTCCACGTCAACAGTGGAATCCAGCTCCGCAAAGCGGATCTTAAAAAAAAAATAATGTAAAACATAAAAGCAGAAAGGAAATCCTAACCCTAGCTGGGACCTGCGCGTTCTCTATGTACGCACATACATTTTCTCTCTGGACGAATATATATTTCTGCATACTTGACGAAAAAAATATACCTTCATATCCGTTGGTTTCTTCGTACGGTAAAGCTATTGCGGTTAGGGTTAGGTTTAGGATGTGGTAATGGAATGCCGGAGGGGGGGTGGTGGACGTGGCCGGTGGAGACGATGACGGGAGGCCGATGTCAGCAGCGGCGGAATATGACGGTGGCGATGGGTTGCGGGGTCCAAGAGAAACCATGCCCAATATCTAGGGTTTCTTCTAAGTCCCCAACCAAAACGCCCTCGAATCTCGAGAAAATTACTCCAATTACCATTGATTTCTATATACAGGCCAAAAAAGCTCTATCCAAGCGTTCGCCCTTCGATTCCGAGGATGTCCAGGTTTCCACTGTCCTCAGTCTTCCCAGTGGGTTGGCCAGCTGGTTGTCGAAGTATTCCGATGGTCGGAAACTGCAGAAGAAGTCGCATTCGGGATCGGAAAAGAAGGGGTCGACGCCCAATGGGTCTGAGAAAGTCCGTGGATCAAACATTTGGGTTGAGACCGAAGAGTATTTCAGAGAATTAACTGTGGATGATATTGAAAAATTGTGTGAGGTATCAAAAATCGGATTTTCGGGTACTGAGAAGTGTTTTCGAATTCCGTCACGGGGAAATGAAAGCAGTGTTCGAGATTACACGTGCAATGGTCACATTGCAGACAACCCCAGTGGTGTTAGTGGACATGGGGTTGAATTGGATTCCAGGGTCGGTGTGAAAGGAGAGGCTGAAGAGGAAAGTGAGCAGTTTATGGAAGTTGATACTGTAGGAGCTAATGAATTGGTTCAACAAGATAAGGGTAGTTCTTTGCCTCAATCATCGGTGCCTTGTAGTGGTTTCGAATGGTTATTAGGTTCTAGGAGTAAGATTTATCTCGCCTCAGAGCGGCCTAATAAGAGACGGAAGCTTTTAGGTGGGCATGCAGGGTTAGATAAACTACTGGTTGCTTGTCCAGTTACAGGGTCATCTTCTTTATGCCATTATTGTAGTTTGGGTGACATGGGCGACCAGTTAAACCGGATTATTGTTTGTAATTCTTGTGGTGTGGCAGTTCATTGGAGATGTTATGGTGTGCATGATGATGTGGATGGTTCTTGGTTATGTTGTTGGTGTAAGCGGAGGAAAGAGGTTCTAGCTAGTGATAGGCCTTGTTTACTTTGCCCTAACCAGGGTGGTGCTTTGAAACCTGTTCGGAAGAGGGGTTTTGGAAGTGAAAATGGCGGGTCAGTGGAGTTTGCTCACTTGTTTTGTTGTCAGTGGATGCCTGAGGTCTATGTAGAGGATACTAGGACAATGGAGCCGATTGTAAATCTTGAAGGAATGAAAGAAACTCGGAAAAAATTAATTTGTTATTTATGCAAGGTGAAGTGGGGTGCTTGTGTTCGGTGCTGTGACGGTATGTTTTGTTGCTTATTTTACACCACTCTGCACTTTTGTTGGATGGTACACCAGGACAGCATTTTAGTAATTGAAGTCAATTGTTACTTAACATTATGCTGTTTCTAAAGTATAGTGTTGTACCTTGACGTCTTTGATTTTATGTTTGACTTCTGTATATTCCCTGCGGAGCCGGTGGACTAGGTCGCTCCTTATCCGTTGAACTCTATTTTAATCTTACAACAAATGTAAATGGAATGAATGCATAAAATTTCTGTTTGTTCCCTCCCTTTATCGTTTCCTATCTCTATAGATTTTTAAAGCATAATAGTCTAAATGAACTTGCTATAAAATTAAGTTGTATTGTTCTATCTAAGTGGTTTGTATAATGAGGGGTGTGTGAAATTGGTAATATATTTGAGTGTTTAAATATAGTATTTAAGTAGAGTTGGATGATCCTTTTCCTGCCTTTATTTTTGTTGCCAGAAGTGTGGCTTGGACTTTTTTATTTATTAATAGCATGCATCAGCAGTGCGTGCTTGGAAATATGAGTGGAGGGATTTTGTAGGAACAAAGTGTCCCACTATCTCACATTTCTTTCAGCATGTAGGTTATGTTTGCTGCAACTTTTTAGAAGCCAAAGCAGCTTCTTTAAAGACAATTTTTGACACACTTGGAGAACTTCAGAGATGTTACAGATGGTGCATACTTTTCTCATGCAAAAACGAAATTCCTAAGACAAGCCCTTCCTAGATGAGCAATGCTAGTGGTACCTAATTTGAAGACATGATATAGTGTGACTTTGGATTAAGAATGGGTCCCCGTATTTAATGAAGTCCACTATCAATTCAATACTCATAATGCATTAGGTCCCCAAAATAAATGAAGCATTTCAAAGGCATTTTCACCATATGCAACTGTTTAGACCAGTGTTTCAATAATGAAGGAATTATGGAGGGCCCGGTGCAAGAAAAATTGCTCTAAAAGATCCAATTTTGATGAACAAGACTATTAGCAAAAATAAGTTGCTTTTATAGGAAGTTAGGAGGAGAGGAGAGCTTAGTGTCTTGATCATTGAGGTTATGGAAGGAATTTGAGCATGAATGTTGGAATTATCCTTTTGGAACATGTTGCTGAGGAAAAATGATTGCAAAAAATGGTGCATCTCTTGAGGTGACCTTCAAAACTGTTCCGGCTCAAGGTCTCATTCTTGGCATGTAAATGCCCAAAATAAGTTTGTTGAGCTGCTCAGGATTAGCTGTCATTTATTTTACAACCCATGCTTGACCATAGACACATTCTTTACAGCCTCTTTATCGTGTCAGCCTTAGTGAATAGATTACAACCCTCATCAACCTTACAAGAAACTTGAGCCTCCTGTCTTTGCTTCACCAGAGTAACCAGTAGATGTCTGCAGATCACTTGAAACACCAATTTCTGCATGAGTCTTTAGAAGTTCATTTCACAGATTTATCATTTTTTCTTCATTTGACTAAATATAAAGTTGAAGATGGATCTAAAGTTCTATTTTTGGAGGATACATGGATGGGGGGGCCCATATGTTCATAATATCTTTCCCCGTATTTATCGTTATACCTCACTACATGTGGCTCCTATTTTCTCTTTTCTTGTCGTGGGATGGGTTTATGTTCTTGATATTTTTATTTCTTTAGGCATCTTAATGATAAGGAAGCAATTGATTTGATTTTTTTGCTTCACATTCTCAATGACTTTCAACATTTTTCTTCTCATGATAGTAAAATATGGACAATAGATAAATTTAAGATTTTCTCATGCAAATCCTTATATTCACGTCATAGTAGCCCCAGAAAAAGTGACTCTTTCTCTTTAACCAAATATATTTCGGAAAGCCAAAGTTCCCTAAAAAATTAAGGCTTTTGTTTGGACTATTGTCCTTAATCGGGTTAACACTAACTAACAATTTGTTGTAGGTGCAGAAGCCCTATAAAACATGGAGCCCTAATATTTGTCTTACTTGTTAGTAGTAGAGAATTGAATGTTCATTTATTTTATTCACCGTAGTTTTGCATGGAGTTTGTGGAATGCATTATTCAAGTTGATTGGTGAGGCTTGACTTTGCCTTTTTATAGGGGGAGCAAATGTTGCAGATTAAGTATTGGGGTTTTGGAAAGAAAAAAGAATCCAAAGTACCAGGCATTGTACGTTCATGACAATTCTTTGGTGTATTTAGATGTAGAGAAATGTTAGAATTTTCAAAAATTGTACTCTTCCTTTCCAATTAGTGTGAGAACGATTGGTTTTTATGGCTTCACTTTGAACCAAAGCCATGGGAAGTTTTAGAGGGTTGCCTTTGTCGGAATTGGATGACGGCTTGACTTTAGTTTTATTTTCTCCTTTTTTGTTGTCCTTTTTTCCTTTGTTTTTTTTTCCTTTACTCATTTCTGACGACATCTTGTCCTCGACATTGTATTTTGCTCTTTATTCCTTTCTATAATAAAATTCTTTTTTTATCAAAAAAATAATAAAGTTTTGAAATTAAAGTAACACATGCAAGTGTGTTGTTGAAGTTCCAGAGAATCCAGCTAATTTAGTTGAAAGCTTAGGAATTGGTACATATGCAAGCAACCACCCTGCCGATTATGCGCAATTCCCTGGATTTACTATAGTGGGTACCACTAGGTCTTTGGTTGTATGACAGTTTGGGACATTTTTATTTTCTCGTTCCATCTTGAAGCCATCTACCAGATCATGGGCTAAGCCTTTTAACTGGATTAAATCAGCATCAGGGGCCAACAGCTTGCAAAATGGTGAGCATCCTTCATTCTAATGCCGCCGTCTAGCTTAACCTTTATTCTTTTTAATCACACTATTGAAGTCTTTAGTCTACTCTATTCACCCTGCTTTAATGGAATAGTCGTAGTGCCCTATTTCATCTGATCCTATGTAGGGTCTGCATCCTGACTCTCCGCCTCCAATATTTCAGTTCTATCTCATTTTGATTGAATTATTTGATATGATATGTATACTTTAGGAAATGTCAAAATGAAAAAAATCCAACGAAAAATTGGTGTTAGGATAACTTTTCATATTAGCACATCAAAAAATTCTGTGCTTCAGACAATTCTGAGGGATGACATTTAGGATGATTCTTTCAAATTGTTGAAGATTCTTTCAATAGTTCTTCAGTCCAACCTGTTGCAAGGTGTTTTTTAAATCAAATGTAATTATGGGTTCGAATGCTTGAACCAGGTACAGTGTTCAAGTTTGACATCAAGTCATTAATTTGAAGTTCTTATCCAAAAAAAAAAAAAAAAATAATCATAATTTGAACTTTTTGAAGTGAAGTAGAAGTTGAATTAATTCATTATGGTCATGGGGAGCTTCCCTTTTTTTAAACATGGGAACAATGTGATAGTATGATTGTACATATTTTTATGCTTGCAGAAAGCCATAAATGCAAAATGTCAATTCTGCATTACTAGAATTCAATCGAGGGTTAAGGTGTGAGTTTTTCGGTTGAGATTGGGGGATGATATGGTTTGTATTTGATGATGGCATCAAGGATCTTATCCCTATATGACGGAGGGAATAGATATTGTCAGAAATTTACTCAGTTTTAACTTTTAACAAGTTTCAAAATCCTTGCTGGAACATTCCGCAATGGTTTCTTTTCTTCTTGCTTCATGTTTTTTGGTAGTTAATTTTCTGGCTTGGAAGTAGATTCAGGATGAGGATAACTTAATAATGATTTGGCAGGAAAAATGGTGGTGCTTAATTTTACTTCATACATTATGTTTTCATTTTCAATTTATTTGGATGGGATTGACAGTTACACTGGGAGCACGCTGAAGAGATTTGTGGAAAGGGCATATACTATGATTTGTAGAAATCAAAATCCTTGTCTTGGTGTTTCTTATTTTACAAAGGCAAAATAGCATCATTAGTACACCATATTAAAGGGCATATACTATGATTTGTAGAAATCAAAATCCTTGTCTTGGTGTTTCTTATTTTACAAAGGCAAAATAGCATCATTAGTACACCATATTAAATAAGCATTTAACTAGAAAATCTTTAGGAGTAAGGATGTAATCCTGTCTTTTTTTTTGCGCACTCAAGCTTGAAGATAAGGTTGTAGGAAACCAGGATTGGGGCAGTTGCCAGAAATGGATTAAGTGAAACATGTCTTGTGAAAACAGTGAATAGTTTTTGATGTGTAATGTTGAGGAAAATTCTGGGTATTTTTTTTTTCATTTGCTTCAGTTTCTTTGAGATATATATGGAAAACAATGTGCACTGAACAAAATTTGCAACTATGGCCTTTTTGGCATGGTTGGATGAAATGAATTATATCAAATAAGTCTTCTCAAAAGTGAATAGTTGTTGCTGTGGAAAATTGATGAAAGTTCTGGGTGGTTTTTTTCAGTTGCGTCAGTATCTTTGGGGTAGATACAAAAGAACAAAAGACGTAAATTTTCTTATATAGCTAAAGAGATTTTCATTGGTGTTTTAAGAAACTGAACCAAACTTATTTTCAGTCATGTTTTTGACTATTCCTGCAATAGAGATCTGATTGAAAATCCTTTAAAAAGGCAAGTACCTCTTTTATTCCCTTGCTGAAGGGTGGTTTTACTTTTCCATTTTCCGGGTTGCAATGTTCATGGATCGGTGAATTTCAATATCGAAGTGGCCATTCCTTTCAGTGTACTGGTGAGGGTGAATATTATTTCTTTCTGAGGGAAAATTCTCTGCCATGAGCCATAATTTGTTTGTAGTTGCTTGTTATGATTTTAAATGGGCTTTACCACTTTTTAGTTCCGGTTATTTGAAGCTTTAGATTTCACAAATAGTGTCTTCTACTCTTCTTTCTACTGTTGTCATGCACACTTTTGATATACTAACAGTGCTGATTGTGATGCTTGCCTAGGGGGCCATTAATTTCTGAATTTGGCTTCAATAATTTTCTGAAGTATGTTTACATTGTCTTTGTGGAATTCTCTAATATATAACATGCTGTGTCTTGCTCTGGTAGACTACAGTTTCTATTTTCTACTCATCTCTTTTATATGGGAGGAAAAGAGTATTACTATATATTTCTCTAGGCTGTTCACTGTTGACAAGTTTTGTGTTTTGGTCTCTGTTTAGGAGCTTGCAGAACTTCTTTCCATCCTCTATGTGCTAGGGAAGCAAGACATAGAATGGAGATATGGGGCAAATTTGGATATGGTGATGTAAGCTTCACCCCTACCCCTCATAAATTTCCTTGAGTTGGTTGAAAAGAGTTTATAGTACTAGTAATATTGTGTTATTGCTATTTTTCCGTTTTTCTCTATTCCAAAATCATTATAGGTTGAGCTAGGCGCGTTTTGCTCAAAGCACTCGGATGCCCAGAATAATTGCAGCACCCAACAAGTAGGGGAACTGTCTGCAGCAAATGGTTTTGATTCCTGCATGTCTGAACAGCGGCTAACAGTATCAACTGTGAACAAACCACCTAAGTTAAGGATTGGCCGAAGACGTGGAGATACAAATGCTGTCCACGGTGAAACAACAGAAAATGACTTGGATAAGTTGGGCAGGAGCATATTACCTGAGGATGGGTTGTCAGATACCAGTTCAAATTCCAAACTTGGGCGAGAATATAGTGATGCTCAGGAACCTGGTAGCATGGATATGTTAGTTAGGGACAGAAGTGAAGACGTTAACATATCTGAGACTCTAAACTTCATGTTGATTCTGAAGAAGGTGCAGTGAAAATATTCATTGATGTTTCAACGTTTCCTTCTTTGCCTGAAGTGTTATTTGAAAATTTTTTTGTATGTAACTTTTATATTTGTCGACTCTGTAGTTAATTGATCGAAGAAAAGTCAACATGAAAGATGTGGCGTCAGAGATTGGTGTCTCTCCTGGTTCATTGGCCTCAGTGCTCACTGTAATACTTTTTTATTGACTTTGTCATCTCTAGTTAGCTTCTGAACAGAATAGTTAATGCTTGACATGCATCAATATCTGTAACTACAAACCTTTTTTCTTTTTGTTTTATGCAATTTGCTTACTTCCTGCAGGAGGAATGCATGGCCCCTGATTTGCATTGCAAAGTAGTTGATTGGCTTATAAATCATGCTTATATTGGCAGTTCATTCAAAAATCTGAAATTTAAAATTAAATCCACAATCACATGCAAAGCTGAAATAGGATTTGCTCATGATAGTGAAGCTGTTGCAGTATCAGAATCTGATATCCCTGATGTGGTTTCTGTTAAGTCAGTACCACCTAGGAGGAGAACCAAAGGCAACATTAGAATTTTAAATGATGAAAAGGTTACATGTTCATCTAAGGAAATTATTAGCAATGATGGGCTGGTGATTGATGAGGCTCACAGTGGCCACTTTTTCAGAGAAGATTTGGCTTATCCAAGTAAGGACTTTGTTGCTGATTTCACTGAGAAGGTAATCACATTGTTTGATCTCTTGTCAGCTTTTTATTAGTGAGTTCAATAGCTTATTTCTACAGATGAATTGTTGGATCATTAATCATGTGGGTAGGAAAATGAATCAAATTTTAATTTCTTTGGGTCAACGTGTTTGAAATAACTTACTTTAAATATATACTCTGATCAAAGCAGTTATGTGAAAGTGAGAGCATCATTGTAGATGATTGAGAGTAGGACAAGAGCAATGAATGAATTCTGGCGAATAGAATACCTAATTGCATTCTTCGTTGGATTTTTTTTGGTTGATTTGTTCTAATGACATCCTTCTTCCACTTTCTTCTCTCTTTGTGGATATCTGTAGGAGATAATATATGTTATTGATATCTTTTTTCTTCATAATGTTATGTTCTATTGACAAGAAAGGTCTTAATATTTTGTGGTTTCATCCATCACAGCAGGCCTTCCATTTTTTAGGCTTTTGTCCCTGTTGAGGATTTTGTGGTGCTAGCACCAACAGCGTTAATACTTATCCGGAATAGTATCACAGGATAACTAATACTCGTCCAATAGTTGTCCAAGTGTTTTTCTATGGATGACAATTAATTATATTATGTTTGACTCTGCTTTTTGTTTTTTCAGATGTCAGTTGAGGCTGTTGGTGTCCCGAATAGTTTGCCAATCAATTCTCTTATGTCTGAAGGTGTGCTTTGAGCATCATAGTTTGATCTTCTGATTGCTTGTATTGGTCTAGTTGAAGACATTAACCCTTGCACATTGTCATTTGAGTCATATATGTAATCTTTTAAGCTCGTTAGTCATATTTGGTTTTTAACTGCTAATGTTGTTTATTGCTTCTTGTTGCTTATGTTCATGAAATCGGTCAGACGGAGTTTTTGAGGAAAACCTAAAATGTTCACACCTTTCCCTTGCCTTCCATTAATGGGAAATTGAGCAATTTTGTAGCAATGGCGCTGTTGGTGTCATTAGGTGATATTCGTCCATTAGTTGGTGAAATCTCATGGGTTTTCGTTTTTTTCTAGCCATGTGTATTTTGTTGGAAAATATTTGCGGGAGGAAAATTTATCGAGTAAAGGAATAAATTTTGCTATGGCTAGATGTCACATTTTTTTCCCAAAAGCAAATATTGGCAAGACTCATGAATATACCCCTTTTGATTTTCTTTTTTCTTTTTCGCCCAAAACAACTTGGTTGAAACAAATGGAATGTAATACTTCTTTTCCCACAGTACTGTTTCTGGCTTCTGGTTAAGCTGTTCCATTTTTGTTTTTTTAAAAATTTCTTTCAGATAAGTGAAGCTGTTTTTTTATACTTTGTTTTTAACTTTATGTTGGTTGAACCTTCGAAGTTCAAGTATTCTAATAATGACACAGCAAGGGTGTCTTTTGATCAGTGTGGATGCCAATAACTTGATCAAATAGTGTGCGAATTTGTCAGGTCAGGAAAAATTGCAGAATAAGTACTTTGTGGTCCTTTAGTCACGCAATTGAATTAAATGGCTGAAAATGATCTCAACAAGGTTTTCGTAATGGTTTGGTGTGGTTTTTTGTACAATTCACTTTACTTTATGCAGAGGTATGATGTCCCATTTCACTGTACTCATACTGTGGGTGATGGCTGATATGGACACTAGAGGCTTGAAAATAATTTGGCAGTTCTGATGAAAGATGAGGTTTACATAGCAAAAAGGAGATTTGTGCATGATGTATAATTCAAGTTCATGTATTTGCCATATTTATAACAATCAGTTGTCTTTGCATGGCAATGATGGCATAAGCCTGTTTGCGATTCTAGGTTGCTTTGTTTTTTCTCGTGTTAGGCTATTCTGGAGGCAGGGGAATTCTTAACACATTGAATGGTGGCGTGGTTATCTTTCTTTCTTTTTTTTTTTTTATCCGATTTGAGGATGTCACCCTATACTTGTCGATATTGGCATCATAATGGAGAACTTGGTCTGGAAACCTCTTAAAGTCGAGAAATGGGAGCATGGATATGCGCACACATAGCATGAATTCAGGTTTTTTTTTCTGGTGATGTAAGATGATATTGGGTATAGTAAAAGAATGCTGTCTAATGTTGGTTTCTCGATGGGATTGGGACTGGGTTATTGAAAGCTTGTTGCATTAACAAAACATAAATAATAAAAATTAATGAATATGGCTTTGTAAGGTAATATAAGATACCAAAATTGAACAAAAAAATATGGAAAAACATAATTGAATGAGAATATATATGATTTACAATTTGGTTTGCCAGATTATTTTATGTTTGGGAGGTTGTGGCATTGTAGAAAAGACTTGTTTTGATATTTGGGCATTGTAAAAGAATGCTGTCTAAAGTTGGTTTCTCGATAGGATTGGGACTGGTTTATTGAAAGCTTGTTGCATTAACAAAACAGAAATAATAAAAATTAATGAATATGGATTTTTAAGGTAATATAAGATACCAAAATTGAACAAAAAAATATATGGTAAAACATAATTGAAGGAGAATATATATGATTTACAATTTGGTTTGCTAGATTATTTTATCTTTTATGTTTGAGAAGTTGTGGAAATGTGGAAAAGACTTGGTTTATTTTTATTCATACATCAACACCAGCTTAACCGTGTTCACTTGGTTTATATGATTGACTTCAGTAGCTATAGACGAGGGGACAAAAGTTGGAGCTATACACATACTTTACATTGAATTGCATTTAATTTGATGGACTTCTTACATCTGGTTGCAGCCACTGTGGTGAGTCTACCCTGTCCTAGTGATCCAAACTCATTGTGGTACGCTCTTAGTATTCAGGTAAAATTGTATACTTGGATTGCTTTTTGTTTGTCATCATTCCAATGTTGAGGGAATATCTTTGAAGGTCAGATATAGATTATTCAGACTGATGTTGGCAACGCTAGAAAAATCACAATAATGATGCCTAAAACTGGCTTTTTGGTGGCCCAAGAGGGAAAATTGTTGATGTAGGGTTTTGTAAAGGTGGCAATAGATGTGGGGGTTTTATAGAAGCCAAAAGATCAGAATAGACTTGGCTTTCATTAGCAAACGGGGTTTCAATTTTGGTGGGTAAGGTTCGAAATTTTTTTCTAACAGGTCTGGGAAAGGGCAACAAATTACTGACATAAATTTTCTCTTTTGAGTAGAACTATGATTTTATTTTAATATGTGTCTTATCTAAGCTTGTATTAACACCAAAGTAGTTTGTGGCAAGCCTGACTTCAGTTAACCTTTGCTTGTGGATTAGTTTGTTTTAGTTTCCAATTGCCCTCGTAATTGTGAAGCAGTGTTGTGAATAAAGGGCTCATTTCATTGTTTGCCACCATTTTTGTGATGCTATGGACTAATTTGCGAAAAAGGAAATGTTTCCAAAAAATTTTTGGATGTGTCTTTCAGCTTTGATATCAATCTATGGGATTAGGTTAATACTGAGATACTAAAGAATAAGGGAAGAGCAATTTGAGATCGTTTGAAGGGTCAATTTGATATCGTTCATACTGCTGAACATATTCTTTGATAACATTACTTTTGTGGCTTCATAAATGTCTATGTGGACGGTTTTCCTTGTCTTCTTGTAACCAAGGATTAAAATTTTGTTTCAGTGTGTTGTTTCGGTCACCTAGAAAACGGAAACATTTCGACGTGTTTCGGAAACATAATGAAAAAATAAAAAATTTAAAAATTATTTTTTTAAAACATTGATTGAAATATATTGAAATAACTTGAAACATTCCGAAATAATTGTGCAAATGTATTGAAATATTATAAAACATCTCGAAATATTATGAAATACCTTGAAATATTAAAATTTCGATTCCATTAATGTTTCATTTCGGCCTCCTTGGAAACAGAAACGTTTCGGACGTTTTGACTGTTTCGAAACGATATTTAGATCCTTGCTTGTAACTACATATTTGTTGGGTTGGATCCTTTGGGTTTTTTTTAGTTGATTTTTCTTATTAAATGGAAATCAACACCCATTGGAGTAATGTTTTGTACAATTGGTTTTGCGGGGCTGAGAGTATGGACTGGTGGTTGATTTAGCTTAAAGGTGGTGAAAGTTTTTGACTTCATAGATGTAGAGAGTTAGAAAAGGTTCTTTGAAAGGTGATGCTGTGCTGGAATTGTAGATTTTTTGCTGCTGGAAATTTGATTTTTCCGTATAGGACTCCCCTTCCCCCTGACTCCAACCAAAAAAAACAAAAAACCGAAAAGAACCTTGTTTCTCCTCTGTGAGATAGGGTAGTGAGAGCATTTGAATTTCTCTAGGTTTAATAACCTGCATATTGCATACAAGGATCAGTATATGTACTGCAGCATGAAGATTGAGGAGATCATGTATATCTCAGGTTTTGCTTCAATTTGTTCAGCATAGTAAATTAATTGTGGAGAATGAGTGTGCTCGATTTTGGGAGGATATATTGATTGGAATTTTAGCTTTTCGAGGAATCTTAGTGGTAGAGAATTTCTTGAATTGTGATTTTTTACTTTCTTTGCTAAACAATTTCTCATTTAATTTTATGTTTGTTGATAGAAGAACCTGGACTGTGGGTCATTCTGGATTGTCTCTTGTAAATCGGTCGTTGAGTCTTTAATTGATATTCCCACCGTTTCAATTTCTGGCGCCTTTGTTGGTATCATTGACCAAGGAGTTCTATGGTTTTCCTTTCTTTTACATTATGTTGGATTGGAGGTTATTTTGTTGCTCATTGTGGTACCTTTTGTTTGGGCTTGGTTTGATGTGCTTCTTTTTCTTTTTTCTCTACTTTTTGATGTACTCTTTTCTTTTATTTTGTATTGATCCTTGGCATGATGTCTTGTCCTCCATGGTATCTCTTTTCTGTAATACTCTATTTTAAAAAAAATTCATTTATCATCAAAAAGAAATAGTGCTATTTTTATGGTCATGAATTAATCTTTTCATGAATAATTATCATTTCAGCAGTCAATCAAATGTCCAGTATCAAACGTCGTCCTTTATTTGCAGTGTGTTTGATTTCCGATACAGCAGCAAGCTTGGTTAGATAAAACTTAAGACATGCTTTTTTACTGCAGATTGTTCTCGTGCTTCATTTTTACCTGTTCCATATTTTGGTCAGGTGATCTAGCCAAACACATAAACCCCTGCTTCTCTGAGGGTGGTCAGGCAGACAACGATGCCATTTCTGAGCAAAGTGCTATCGTGAATTCAGAACACAGGAACCTTAGTTGTTCTGTTGCTATGAATCCAATTCCTAATTTCATGTAAGCTTTGGGAAGCTATCAGCTTTATGTGCTGGGAACCATCTTGCTTTTGTTGTGTGCTCATGAAAATGGTTTTGCATGAATGCTTACCATTGTGTATGTATGTGCAATGCAGCAAATCCGCGGCATCGTCTAGCTTTTACGTCCACCCCCTTATACAATACAAATTGATGCAAATGCAGAAGCGGGTCCTATCAAAGAACACAAATCAAGAGTATGATGGTAAACTCTTTCTGATGCTTCTATGTTGCATGTGTTGAGGTCGTGTGGTTAATTACTTTGTTTGGCAGGTTCAAGGGACAGAGAATCATTGGATAATCCTTCAAGTGTCGGCATCTGTGGTCATCATCAACATTCTACTTCCACTGACCTGAGTTCCAAAGTTGATGTGGTAGATCTAGAACCGTTGGTCAAGGCTAGGAACATGGACATATTAGGACGGTCTCCATTAGATGAAGTGGAAGGGGAACTTATTTTTTGTCAGCATAGGTTACTGTGCAATGCAGTTGCAAGAAAGAGCTTCAGTGGTCTGTTCTTGGCTCTTTGCTCTTTGTTTTTGCATTACAGGCATTCTTTTTTTCTCTTTTGGGTTTTACTCTAAGAAACATGGACACGGGCATAGGCACGGGACATAGATACGACACTATACGGACATACATGCACGATATTTCTCAAAAAACTAGGACACTGATACGTTGTAGACATGTTATAGACTATTGTGTTTTATATATAAAAATTTTTGTATTTATCACAAATATAGTGATAATGATATTTTATTCATAAAAAAATTAGTATTTTATGACAAGTAAATATTATGTCTAGTAATCTAGTGTGAATTTGTAGACTAACATCATAGTAGTCGATAATTATCAATTTTTTTGGAGACGTGTGTTAAGTGCAGAGGATTAACACAATATTAAAGAGTAACAGAGAGGTTAAAACTTAACCTAGCTCTCATACATCACTTATATTTATAGTTAACTCATAATAATAAGAATTATACATACACTCTCTTACTATTAACAATTTGCACATACTATCCTAATATTCTTAACATTCTTCCCTCAAGCTAGACTATATATGTCATATAATTCAAGTTTGGAACAAATCTTTAGATTTCACAAATGGAGTTGTAATCTCTCCAGCTACTATCTTGTCTTGAATGAAGTGACAAATCAACCTCGATATGTTTGGTTCTCTCGTGAAACACCAGATTGACAGCGATATGAATAGCTCCCTGGTTGTCACAGAACAACTGTAAAGGAAGTTGAACTGGAAACCCAATTTTCTGGAGGAAGTGTAGTAGTCAAGTCAACTCACTTGTCGTATGCGCCATTGCCCTATACTCAGCCTTAACACTGGATTTCGTGACCATAGATTATTTTTTACTTTTCCATGAGACAACGTTACTTCCTAAGAAAGTACAATAACCAGTGGTTGATCTCGATCAGAAGGATAGCCAGTTCAATCAGCATCCAAGAACCCTTCCACTTTAAGATGTCCATTAATTCGATATAACAGTCCAAGTCCAGGAGCACGTTTGAAGTATCGCAGAATATGAGTAACTGCCTCTCAATGTGGTACTCTAGGACACCCAATGAACTGACTTACTATAGTGATTGTATATGAAATATCCGGTCGAGTAATAGTGAGATAATTGAGCTTCCTAACCAGTCTGTGATACCGACCCGGATTCTCAAACAATGCACTATCATTCATCAAAAGTTTCTGATTCGGATCCATAGGAACATCAATAGGCCTACCACCCAGTAAACCTACTTCCTCCAGTATGTCAAGTATATATTTCCTCTGGGATAAACAAATACCCCGTTTAGATCGAGCCACCTCAATATCCAAGAAATATCTGAGTTTTTCAAAACATTAGTATGAAATCGATCCGGCAAGAATATGTTTAACTTGACAATTTCCTCAGAATCATTTCTAGTAATCACAATATCATTTACATAGATCACAAATAGAACATTTCCTGCATTTGTCTGTCTATGAACACAGAATGATCTGTCTGACATCGAAGAAGACCAAACACTAAAACTGCATCTGAAAATTTGTCAAACTATGCCCTCAAAGATTTCTTCAACCGACATACACTCTTACCATACTTCCCCTGAGCAGTAAATTCAGGTGGTTGCTCCATGTATACCTCTTCAACCAAGTCACCATGTAGGAAGACATTCTTAACATCTAACTGAAACAAGGGCCAATCAAGATTAGCAGCTAAAGAATCAGAATACGAACATAGAAAATTTAGGCAACAGGAGAGAAAGTCTCCTTATAATCAACACCATAAGTCTGAGTAAAGTCCTTTGCAACAAGCCGGGCTTTGAGACGCTCCACTGAATTATCCGGGTGAAATTTAACAGTATACACCCAAGAAACCAACAGTTCGTTTACCAAGAGGAAAATGAACAAAATCCCAAGTCTCATTATAATGTAAGGCATTCATCTTCTCCTCCATAGCTTTTTGTCAACTTGGATCAGATAATGCATCCTGTAAATACTCAGGAATAGAGATAGTAGATAATTGAGAAGTAAAACAAGAGAAGACAAGAGACAACACATCATATGAAATAAAATGAGCAATGGGATGATTAGTAACACACGAACGAGTACCTTTTTGAAGAGCAATAGATAAAGAGTCTAAATTACCTGATATACCAGGATCAGAAGGTGGCAAGGAAGATGGTACCGGGCACCTCAGTCGATGGGCGAGGACGACGATAGTAGACATGGAGAGGTAAAGTAGATGGTAACATAGTGGGCAGCGGAATATCTAAAGATGAGGAAAGAGGTGGTGGTACAGGAGATAACCCAAAGTCCAGATTTAAAGGTTGAGAAGGTGCTGGAAAATATGGAACAGATTCCTCAAACGTGATATCGGCACTAGTAAAGTATTGGCATAGATAAGGACTGTAGCAATGATACTCCTTCTAAGTGCTAGTGTAACCAAGAAATACACATTTGGTAGTTCGAGGATAAAGTTTGTCAAACCTAGGGTCCAAATTGTGAACATAACAGACACATCCAAAAATTTAAGAGTCAGGAAAAATAAGGGTTTGTCTGGAAAAATGACAGAATATGGACTTTGTCCATTTAACACAGAGAATGACATACGATTAATAAGGTGACAAGCACTAAGAACAACATCACTTTAGAAATATCGGAGAATATTCATCTGAAATAATAGGGCACAGGTGACTTCCAACAAATGACGGTTCTTGCGTTCAGTAACACCATTCTGTGGAGAGGTGTAAGCACAAGAAGTCTGATGAATAATGTCAATTTTACTAAGATAAGTTGAAAAATGATCAGATTCATATTTTCGAACATTATTAGAACGTAAAGTATGTATACGACGACCATACTGAGTTTTTATTTCCTTACGAAAGGTCTCAAATATAGAGAATAATTCAGATTGAGCTTTCATAATAAAATAACCAAGTCACACGAGAATAGTCATCCACAAATGTTACAAAATAAGGATATTTATTAGATAAAATATTTTTTATTAGACTCCTTATATATCAGAATGTACTAACTCAAATAGACTAGACACACGACTATTGACTCTAGACTAAAATGACACACAGTGATGCTTACTAAGTTCAAGCTTCACAAGACAAAGACGACATATAACTAAGACTGGGAACTTGACGCTTCAGATTTTGGAGAGAGGGATGTCCAAGACGACAATGCGATTGAAAAGGAGACAACGAGGTCTGTAGAGCCCGGATAGGTGAATCAAAGTCAGGGTAATATAGGCCACTAGCTTCATGCCTCGTACTAATCTTCCTCTTCGTCTGGAGATCCTGAAAGACATAATAAGAGAGATAAAATGTTACAGAACAATTAAGAAAATGAGTAATCTTGCTAATGAAAAATAAACACAAAAGAAACTGAGGAACAAATAACACAGAAGATAGAGACATAGCAGAACTCAAGTGAGTATTCCCTAGGCTTGAAATTTTAGAACAAATACCATTAGCAAGAGTAACATTACATGTGGAAGTAACAGACTGATAAGTAGAAAATATCAGACGCACCAGTCATGTGGTCAGAAGCACCGGAGTTTATAATCCAGGGACTATAAGTGGAGGACAATAAACAAGTGGAAGCAGTACCTGACTGAGCAAAAGTAGCAGTGGAGGGAAATGGGACAACCTGTTGCTGGGTCATAAACTGAGTATACTCCTCTCGTGTAATAGTAACCGACCTAGTGTTTGGTGGAGCTGACCGAGGTACGGAAGCAACAACAGAGGTGTCATCCTGATAGGAAGTTTGATTCGCATCAGTAGAAGGTTTTTCATGTATTCCCAACAGAAATCAACAATGTGTCCTCCACAGCCACAGTGAGTACAAGAACGAAGTCCACTACACCCTCACGACCACCTGTACGACCTCCTCGACCACCTTGATGACCATCATTATGACTATTAGAAACCACAAGAGCTGAGCGATCAATTAAGACACCATGATCAATGCCAGTAGTAGGCAAAGTAGCACGCTGTATACGAGAGAAAACTTCAAGCAGTGAAGGAAGACTGCAACCACCCAAAATCTAAGAACGAATAGCCTCATATTCAGGTTTCAATCCTACCAAAAACCTAACAACATTCATGTCCTCATGTTGTTTCTGTCAAATTGCTACATCAGTAGTAAATGGATGATAGGTCTTTATCTCTTCACAGACTCCCCGAACGTGAGAATAATAATCTTCAATACTCAGATTACTTTGTTCCAACCAGAAGTACTCCTTACATACCTCATAAGCTCGGGAAAAATTACCAGCACCAGAATACATAGTGGCCAAGTGATCCCATATCTCCTTGGTAGTGTCAAGGTAGAGCAGAGTAGAACTAATATTAGGCTCAATGCTATTCAATAGTAAAGAAATAATTTGAGCGTCCTTTTGTTCCCATTGATCATACCCAAGAGTATCTTCTTTGTGTTTAGGATCTACCAAATATTTTTTAAATTCTTTTGCCTCGAAGAAAGATTTGAACGGATTGGGACTATAAAGTATAATTGGTCCCACTGAGTTTAACAAAGGTCATGGGACCATTGATAATAGTCGGAGGTGACAAAGATAGAGTAAGGGACTTGGTATCTTATTTGGGTTCTATAATAGTGCAGCAAATAAAAAACCGAAGTGTTGTAACGCTGAACCAGAAGGAAAGAGAAGGCTAGAAGACTGAACTGGACCACAGGAGCCTGCTGGAAGACTGAACGGGACCACAAGAGCCTGCTGGACCACAGGAGCCTGCTGGAAGACTGAACGGGACCACAAGAGCCTGCTGGACCACTGAACCGGGCAGACTAAGCTCGCTGGACCACTGAATTGGAGTAAAATTGACTAAACCGGTATGAACCGGTGCAACAGTGTTTGAACTGGGTCATAGGACCTTACTGGACCGTTGAACCGGAGGGACCACTGACTGAACCGGTTTGAAGTTAACTGAACCGGGATCGAACCGGTCTAATTGGATTTGAACCGAATTCGGGTTTTCTAGGTCTGGACCTCTTCTTCTTCGTTGATTAGGGTTTCAGTAACCCCTAAACTTCGACTGCGCATTCACACCATGACAATGAATGACCTCCACGCTGCGCCTTGACCACCACAACGAACCACTACGCTATGCCTTGACCACCACAATGAACGACAGACCACCACGATGCTACCCACGACAACGAATTCAACACCACAGAGCAACACAGGTCTGACGAACAACACAAATCACCACCACAACACCACACAACAACACAGATTACCACCACCACTGTAGCAGAGATCAACTACAACAACTGTATTACCACCACACCACCGTAGCTTAATTTATTCAAAATATATTTAGGAGTGTAATTGTTGTGATACCATGTTAAGTGTAGAGGATTAATACAATATTAGAGAGTAACAGAGAAAGGTCAAAACTTAACCTAGCTCTCATATATCACTTGTATTTATAGTTAACTCACAATAATAAGAATTATACATACACTCTCTTACTATTAACAATTTACACATACTACCCTAATATTCTTAACAACGTGAATCAAAGATATATAGCTTAAATGATTGCTCTCATTTTAATAGTTGCTATTTTCTAAATCTTTTATGTATCTTTTGCTTTTTTTATTATATTTTGTGTACAATTTTAAAGTCTTGGTAATTATGTATGTGTTATGTGACTTATGTCATAGTATAAGATACTTGGTAGTCAAATTTTGAGCCTTGTTAATCATATGCCAACATATGTTTATTGTTTAGTAGTAGCCATGACTTAAAAGAAGTGTCAGACACGTTATCAAAGAAGTATCGGATGTATGTCCAAAAATAAAATTTTCATTTAATTATGGACACGTATTAAAGAGTATCGGATACTTTCCGAGAAGTGTCGGTGTTCGACAAGTGTTCGATACGGATGCGTCACCTTCTTGAGAGTGTCTGTGCTTCATAACTTTTACTACTTTAGGTATTACACCTAGGTTGCATTTTTTTGAGGACTAAGTAGTTCTCTAAGTTGCATGCCCTTTCTGCTTTATCTCGTAGATATCTAACTAGAAGGTTTGCATCATATTTTTCCTGCTTGTGCAGACGACTTAATTTGTAAGGTTGTGAAGAGTCTTCCCCAGGAGACTGATGTTGAAGGGAACCGAAAATGGGATGCTGTACTGGTTAACCAGTATCTTTGTGAGCTTAGAGAAGCAAAAAAGCAGGGAAGAAAAGAGAGACGGCACAAGGAAGCTCAGGCTGTGCTTGCTGCTGCAACTGCTGCAGCTGCAGCTTCATCTAGGATTTCATCATTTAGGAAAGATTCCATTGACGAATCTGCTCATCAGAAGGTTGTAAATTCTTTGTTTTTTCTAGATGACATTGTTTCTACTAATGATAAAGGGAACCACTAAATATTAGCAATCATCATTTGTATTCATTGCTATACCAAGAATCATTGACTTTTAACTTCTTTCTGTGTAGAACCCACTGAAAGGGACCATTTCTAATGGAAGGGCTGGGCTTTACTCTCAGCACATGCCACAAGCAAAGGAGACGCTTCCAAGATTGGCTGTTTCACGGGCTTCATTAGAAAAGAACTCTTATTTAGATTGTTCTAAAGGACACCCCAGAACTTGTGACATCTGCAGATGGTCTGAAACAATTTTGAACCCAATCTTAGTCTGTTCGGGTTGCAAGGTTTTTAACCTCAGGCACAATTACTTTCGAAAATTTCCAAAAATCCTGGAATTTTTAACACTCTTGCTGCTAACAGGTTGCAGTTCACTTAGATTGCTACCGTATTGTTAAAGATTCTACGGGACCATGGTATTGTGAATTCTGTGAAGATATATTGTCATCTAAAAGCTCTGGAGCTCCAGCCCTCAATTCTTGGGAGAAGCCGTATTTTGTTGCAGAGTGTAGTTTATGTGGTGGCACTGCTGGTGCTTTTAGGAAGTCAACTGACAGACAATGGATCCATGCCTTCTGTGCTGAAGTAAATTTTATTTCCTTCACTAGTCATCTTTTTGGCTTCTTATTTGGTAGATGAGGGTAGATTTTTTAATCAAAACACCTTGAAGTTTGTTTCCTTTTTGATTGCAGTGGGTGTTAGAATCAACATTCAGAAGAGGACAAGTGAATTCTATTGAGGGAATGGTACGTGCGAGTGGGTAAATTGGATATAAGTAGAATCATTTTCATTTTATTTGCTATAAACCAGAAATATTTGATGTTTTCCTCTGTTTGCATGGAGTGCTAAAATGTGGCATGACTGATGAAACTTGTCTTTATCAATTCTGCTAGTTTTTGAAGAAAACCTTGATGGTATGTGTAATTTTTCCCTTCCTATTTTATGTAATGACAGGAGAAAGTTTCCAAAGGGTGTGACGTTTGCCATGTCTGCCATCGCAAACAAGGTGTCTGCATAAAGGTAATATTTTTCTTATTTCTTGTTTTTCAATTTTCTGACTTGAACTGAAACTATTCGTTTAGAATTGAGATAATTCCTAAGTGAATTAACTGCAGTTTTGTCATGCAGTGTAATTACGGTCACTGTCAGAACACGTTTCATCCCTCTTGTGCCAGAAGTGCTGGCTTCTACATGAATGCGAAGACTAGTGTTGGGAAGTTGAAGCACAAGGCTTATTGTGAAAAGCATAGCTTAGAGCAGAGAACCAAGGTCTGATTTGTCTTCTTTGCTGTGGTAGATTTTTCCCTTTTTTGCTAAATGATTTTGTTCATTTCTCCTCGTTCCTTAATGAACCATACAGGCTGAGAATCAAAGACATGGAGGTGAAGAACTGAAAAGTCTTAAGCAAGTTAGGGTAAGTGAGGATGCTTTCTGATTGCTTCATGAGTGTTGTTCAAACACCCCCCCCCGAAAAAAAAATAATAATAATAATGGAGTTGGCTATTTAGAATGGAAAGACAATAATATCCTTCGTGTTTTTAATTTTTCACTATCTTTTCTCCCTCCAATATTCTTACAGAATTGAAAATAAACCTCATATATGGAGAGAGAGAGAGAGGGGGATGGGTTATTTTAGAGCAAAAAAGGGTTGGTGTAACATAAGGATATAGAAGTAATTCTGTCACCTTTTTTAATTGAAAATTTTTACTCATTTACTGTGTGTTGATGTTGGCAGCCATGCTTGTGTCATATTAGTCATGGATTGTTCACAACCATCTAACGAGCCTCATTTATATGGTTTTGGGATTGATGGTTCTGCGAATCACCTGAATCATATGCATTTGTATGTTGGTGTACACATGATGTGCTTCTGCATATGTTTTTCAAGCCTGCCTGCACCTGTTTTGGACATTTCACCCTCCTAGATATTTTCTTTGATTAACTACTTGATGCTTAAAAAGGGATGTTGGCTGGTGTCCAGTTTTGCTAGTTTTGAAATATGACTCACCAAATATCCTTGCATGAAATGCTCTTGTACAGGTTGAATTGGAAAGGTTACGCCTTCTTTGTGAGAGAATTATCAAACGAGAGAAATTGAAGGTAACGTTTCATAGTGTATCAATGGAATTCCTGTCACGTAGGTTTCCGAACATTTGTAAACTTTGGTGTTGAACATTAGTTTTCTTGACTATGCATGCGAACCAAGGATCAAAATTTTGCGTTTTCATTTTCAAGGAGACCAAAACGATTCAGTGATTGAATAGAAATTCCAATGCCTACATATGTTCCACAATATTTCGAAGTGTTTTGGCATGTTTCTCGGAATGTTTTGAGGTGTATTTTGATGTATTTTGACCAACATTCTATAATGTTTTGAATTTAAATTCCTAATTTTTCTATTCATTTCAATTTCCAAAACATTTCAATGCGTTTTCATTTCCAAGATGACCGAAACAATGCACAAAAACGAAATTTTAATCCTTGATGCGAACTGCAGCAAATAAGAAATTTCTCCGACAAATCCCATTATAGGAATTATATAAGTTTGAAATCTGAAATATTTGAAACCAGGCAAACTTCTTTAATCAATAACTTCCACGGCTAGATTTTTTTGCTTCATACTGTTTGGCTTTGTACTCATTCAAGATTGGTTGCCTGCTGAATGGTTACTTTGTTGTTTCATGCTACAACTTTAGAATTGATCACCCAAGTGCAGGTTGTCGCGAAGTAATATAATACTCGGAAGTCCGAGGTCGAACCACAGAGAATTGTAACAAAAAGCAATCACATAAATACTAAAGAAAATTTGAGAGAACAATTTGTGTAAAAAATTGTTGAGTTGAAAATATTGATTGGAGATATTTAAACAATATAATAAAAATACTAGAGTATCAGGTTTTCCCTCTCATTCCATACAATAATGATTAAAGACTCAAATCTTAACTTGAGACAAGAATCAAATGTCGGTTGATTCGAGTAAGAAATCAAGTAAGAAAATTAAAAGTTATAATCAAAAGATTATTCAGGAACCTGAATAATCATCAAATTATATTATTTTATGAAATAATGATAAATACCTTAAGCGTGGAATAACCAGTTATTTACTCGCAAGGAAATTCAAGCAATCGATGTAAATGGCACGACTCAAGGATTTTTACAGAATAAAAACTTTGCTAAGAAATCAGAAGTTAAATTAACAAAATATCATAAATCATTAAGCACAGAGTCAATAACAGTACCGTACTTCGTTGAGAGGTTTTTTTCTGGCCCTAGCTTAGCCTTCTAGCCAGACATAACAAACTAAAACAAAAATAAAAAGATGAAAAAAGAATAATAATAATCTCTAAATGAGAATCCCTGTTTATACCAACAATAAATCCTAAGTACAGGTTGAAAGGAATTCTTTTCCAAAAAAGAAGCCTTGTAGGGTTATCTTTGGGACGCGGGTACAAAATCTGTCTAGACTTCGAGCTTGAATTTCGCATATTTAGAGGTTGAATCACGAAAATTTCGTGAAATACATTTTTGTAGCCCGTGAAGTCTTCTTTTAAACTCCCAAAAATTAAGTAAATCGGATATCAGATTCAAAAGTTATGACCAAAATACTGAAGACGTGTCAAATTCTTTTCTTCTTGGAGAATTTTCTAATCCAACTCTAAATGAGTTTTCTTCCAACTTGAACTCTTATAAAGATTAAATTGTTGTCATATCTTCAAGTCTTCCAATCTCAATCTTGACTTTTCAATCTTTATCAGTTATTATTCTTCCTCTAGTGATTGTTTCACTTGCATTATTCATTATTATTTTAAATCAACCAATTTATCTGCAAAATAAACCAAACAACTAGAAAATGTATCAAACTAGAAAATCAAGGAATTTAACACCTTTAATCCCAAATAATATGTAATTAATCAATCATTAAATATAATTAAATAGGAATTTTGATAGTTATTCACACCCCTCAACCTAAATATTACTAGTCCCTAGTAATACATGGATCCTAAAATCTGAAAACTAAAAACAAAATAACCTAATAAAATAAAACACAAAACTACTTTCGTAGGACTCACGATTGCATTTAGCATATGTAACAAGCCTTTAAACCCCTAGGTTTCCCTTAGTGGACGAGCATAGTCTTGTGAGGGTTTCCAGAAATGATACCCACAAACATCACCCTGTGATCAAATATCTGAATAATAATTTTATAACACATATTACTACCACAATATAAAATTTTAAGTTCAAGCTTTTTTTTTAAGCACATGCAAAACAAAATATAGAACTTACATGCTATATAAATGTATGCACTTATCATATTCCCATATAAACTCGTGTGTAGTGTGAATTTATTATACCAAGTCAATAATTTATCCGGTAATCACCTCAACAACTATCAACTATTCGTTTCAATGTCAAATCTCACTATATAATTCACTCATGAAAAATTCTCTCTGATTATAGTGACTAATCCCTCAAATATCACATGTGAGAAGAAAATATTTAAATCAAAACAAAATAATGCTCACATGTTTATTAAAAAAAACGTAATCCAAAAGAAAAGGATTTGAAATAGTTTTATGAAAGGAAATCAACACACAATATATAAACAATCACCATTCTCTTATTCACAAGAGTCATACATCCACCAATATACTCTTGAGATCAGATAGGACTTTATTTAAGGTTGTAATGGGGCCTTGAGATTAGGGTTTTGAAACAAAGGATATTCAATTCAAAAGACTATCCCGAGAGAACATATACATTACACAACCAATATTCTTTCCATAACCTTTCACTCTTTACCCTTTAGAAGCATAATTTACAATACTTGCTCATATTTTTTTCTTTTCAAACACATGCTTGCTATTTTTTTTTCTCTATTTTTTTTTTTAATTTGCTTTTTCACAGCTAGGCATATTGTCTTTCTTTTCTTTTCAACTTTTTTTTCAGCAAGACAATTTAATATATATACATCTTTTTTTCAGCAAAATATCTAATGCAAGTATTCACAAGTATGCAAAATTTTTTTTTTCCTTTTTTTTTTATCATCTTTGAACATCTTTTCCCAACCAACATCTCCCAAATTACATAAGCAATAAAAAATTCAATCTCAGGATAACCAAGGGTAAAATATATTATTTTTTTTCATTGGCTTGGTTATTATATATTGGGTAGAAGAAATAAAATTTTGCTTCATAGGCTCAATCATGACTTCTAGGGATAACAATATTCAAATAATATCAAAGATGACCTAAAATCATATCTCAAGAGTTTTTGATAACACACTTCCCATGCAAATAATTTAAAGTCAAGTAATCATTCATAATATTGGTATTGACCAAAACAAAAATAATGAGAATATTAAAGGAGATTAACTGAATAAAAATATTCTTTATTGAATAAATGTAAATAATCCTTCAAGAAAGATTGGATCAAAACTCATCAGAGTTTTTATACATCTCTACTATATGTTTCAAGTTCTCAAGGTAAAATACCTAACAAATTTTCAACTTAATAAAGTTTAAAGTGCACAAATTGTGAGTTTTTATAAAAATATGATATGACATACAAAAATATAGTATAAAGTTTTACATAATGCTTAAACAGTTGCAAATTTAAAGCTAAACAAATTATTTATATATTGTGGTGTCAAATTATGCGTAAAAATTATTCAGATATTTAATAACCAACAAATTTTTTTTTAATTTTTAATTAATTAATTTTCTTTTTTAGCAAAGTAAATAAACTTGAAAAAAAAACATAAACTAGGAATTTTCACAACACAAAATAGGAATTTTCACAACACAAAACATACCCATAACCCCCAACCTAAATCCAACATTGTCCTCAATGTAAAAATAAATACCTTAATGCTCAATAAAAATAAAATTTCTGTGTGTCTCATTTCAAGTACCTCAAGTGGATCAAATAAAGAAAAATTATATACTCTGTTTGGAACAAGAGACTCAATCATATTGATCTCATGTACATCTTCATCAACATTCCTTGGTTGTTTGCATATATTAAAAATATTGAACTCTAATGTCATATTCTCAAAAGTTAATTTCATCACACCATTCCTGCAATTAATTAAAGCATTTGAAGTTGCTAGGAATGGTTTGCCTAAAATAACAGAAATTTGAGCATTAATATTTAATACCGGTTGAGTGTCCAAAATTATAAAATCTACAGGAAAGTAAAACTTATCAACCTATACTAAGACATCTTCCACCATACCCCTCGGTATTTTTACTGATCGGTCAGCTAATTGAAGTGTAACTGAGGTAGGTTTTAACTCCCCTAATCCTAGTTGCTCATAAACTAAATAAGGGAGCAAGTTTACTGTAGCTCGTAAATCCAATAAAGCTTGTTTAATTATGTGGTTGCCTATAACACAAGAAATGGTGGGACAACCTGAGCCTTTTTATTTTGGTGGAGTCTTGTGTTGTATGATGGAAGATACCTGCTCAATCAAAAATGCCTTCTTTTGCACATTTAATTTTCTTTTAACTGTGCATAATTCTTTCAAAAATTTTGCATAAGAAGGTATTTGTTTAATGGCATCCAACAAGGGAATGTTGATTTTTACTTGCTTAAAAATCTTTAATATATCATTATGCATATAAGGCTTGGTAGAAGTAAGCAATCTCTGTTGGAATGGTGCAGGTATGACATACTTCTCAGGCTTATTGATTTCAAAGTGATTAATTTTATCACCACTCTCCGTAGGTTTTGAAATCTTTTTAGATTCTTGAATTTTAGAAGGAATAGTTTTATCAATTTCTTTCCCACTACGGAGTGTGGTAATAGATTTTACCTACTCATGCACAGTATCAGAAGTGCTAGTTTCATTCACAAAAAATTGATCATGTGAATTTGGTTGTGGTTGTGCTGGGAACTTACCTTTTTCTTGATGGCACGGGTCAATAGTCAACTTAGTGATTGCATTTCTAATATCTTCAGTAGCCTGAGTAGTTTGTCTATTAATATTTTTCTACTTATTTAGTATACTCATGATATCATTTATGGCCTGTGTGGTCTGATTGATAAAATTTTCCTGACTTTGCATCATTTGTGACAATGCCTCCTCAATTTCTTAGGAGGTGGAACATAGGGTGCAACATTAGAGGAATTTTGTTAAGGTGGTTGTGATGCATGCTTTTCATTCCTCCAACTAAAATTGGGATGATTCTTCCACTCCGGGTTGTATGTGTTTGAGTAAGGATTATTGTAAGGTTTTGAAAAAACATTTGCAGCATTTGCTTGATCATGCAAGATTTTTTTTAAAACAGGTAATGTTGGACATTCCTTTATAGGATGTCCAGGGATCTCACAAACACTACACACCTCCTCTACAGGCACTGTGTCAACTTGATTAACCCTTTTGTACTCTATGACTTTTACCCTCCTAGCTAAGGTGGCAATTCTAGCTCCTAGGTCATCTTCTTCCCTCAGCTGGTATTTACCCCCATTAGATGATGAAGATTGTGCAGTTTTACCTTTAGGAGGTTCTTGGGATGTGGTATCCCAAGATTGTGCACTTTCAGCTAACTGATCTAAGTAGTCAAAGGCCTCGTCTGATTCCTTATTCATGAAATCACCATTACACATCATCTCAACAAATTGACGCAACTGTGGACTCAAACCCTCATAAAAGAAACTTATCACGCGCCAACTCTCATAACCGTGGTGTGGATAAGATGCAAGGTCTTTAAATCTTTTCCAACTTTGATAGAAATTTTCAGATTCTTTTTGACAAAAATTCATTATTTGCCTTTTTAAAAAGTTTGTGCGATGTGTGGGAAATTTTTTTTTCAGAAATTATTTTTACATCTCAGGCCGTGTACCTATGGCCTTAGATCTAAGTGAATATAACCAAGTCTTAGCTTTTTTTTTTAATGAAAAAGGAAACAACTTTAATCTGATTGTATTCACTGAGACATTCTGATCATAGAACGTAGCACATACATCCTCAAATTCTCTAATGTGTAGATATGAATTTTTTGAATCTAGGCCAATAAATTTTGGGAGTAATGTAATCATGCTAGGTTTGAAAACAAAATTTATGGCATTTAATGGAAAGATAATGAATGATAGTGCAGTGTGGCGTGTAGGCTGTAAATATTCATGCAAAGTCCTACCCTAATTAGCTTTTAAATTATCCACATCGTTCTCATCATGATTACTTACTCTATCAATATGATCCTCATGTTTGGGAAGATCATTTTGCCTATTATTGTTAGGATTAGCCGCTATTGTGTGCGAAGAGTGATTTGAATCAGATGAACCAAATAGATTTTCAAACAGCGTATCTAAATCTTCTCTTATTAAACGACCACTCAAGTCACGATGCCAGGAATTCATAAAACAAATAAACAAACTAAATAAAACAGAAATCTAAATTAAACAGAAATAAAATAAATTGCAATAAAATGACTAAAATAAATAAAAATTAGAACGAAGTTATCGGATCTCCGAAGAATCGCAAATGCAAAAAACCTCAAAGATGCGATAACTCTTTGTTCTTCAATTCCTTGGCAACGGTGCCAAAAACATGCTACAACTTTAGAATTGATCACCCAAGTGCAGGTTGTCGCGAAGTAATACAATACTCGGAAGTCCGAGGTCGAACCACAGGGAATTGTAACAAAAAGCAATCACAGAAATACTAAAGAAAATTTGAGAGAACAATTTGTGTAAAAAATTGTTGAGTTGAAAATATTGATTGGAGATATTTAAACAATATAATAAAAATACTAGAGCATCAGGTATTTCCTCTCAATTCTATACAATAATGGTTAAAGACTCAAATCTTAACTTGAGACAAGAATCAGATGTCGGTTGATTCGAGTAAGAAATCAAGTAAGAAAACTAAAAGTTATAATCAAAAGATTATTCAGTAACCTGAATAATCATCCAATTATATTATTTTATGAAATAATGATAAATACCTCAAGCGTGGAATAACCAGTTATTTACTCGCAGGGAAATTCAAGCAATCGATGTACATGACACAACGACTCAAGGATTTTTACAGAATACAAACTTTGCTAAGAAATCAGAAGTTAAATTAATAAAACATCATAAATCGTTAAGCACAGAGTCAATAACAGTACCGTACTTCATTGAGAGGTTTTTTCCTAGCCCTAGCTTAGCCTTCTAGCCAGACATAACGAACTAAAAAAAAAATAAAAAGATGAAAAAAAGAATAATAATAATCTCTAAATGAGAATCCCTATTTATACTAATAATAAATTCTAAGTACAAGTTGAAAGAAATTCTTTTCCAAAAAAGAATTTTTGTAAGGTTAAATCTTGTGCATAAAATCTTTGGGATGCGGGTACAAAATATGTCCAGATTTTGAGCTTGAATTTTGCATATTTAGAGGTTGAATCACGAAAATTTTGTGAAATACACTTTTGTAGCCCGTTAAGTCTTCTTTTTAACCCCCAAAAATCAAGTAAATTGGATATCAGATTCAAAAGTTATGACCAAAATACTGAAGACGTTTCAAATCCTTTTCTTCTTAGACACTTTCCTAATCCAACTCTAAATGAGTTTTCTTCCAACTTGGACTCTTATAAGGATTAAATTGTTGTCATATCTTCAAGTCTTCCAATCTCAATCTTGACTCTTCGATCCTTATCAGTTATCATTCTTCCTCTAGTGATTGCTTCACTTGCATTATTTATTATTACTTTAAATCAACCAATTTACTTGCAAAATAAACCAAACAACTAGAAAAAGTATCAAATTAGAAAATCAAGGAATTTAACACATTTAATCACAAATAATATGCAATTAATCAATCATTAAATATAATTAAATAGCAATTTTGATGGTTAATCACTTCACACAACATGCTGTTGATAATTTCTCTCTATGCATCAGTGGTTCCTTCTCTGTGAGTTGAATTTTCTGGTAGCAGCTATCAGTTCTCTTCTTCTCTGCTGAGAACTTTGTTGGTAGCTTGAGATTGCATACTGTGTTTCAAATTGCCATTTTACCTCAATTACACAAAAGGTTGTATTGTTTGTTACAATGAAGAAAAAGAGGTGGCTTATGTGTTTCTCTTGACTTGCTTTCACCAACAATACAATACTATATATATAAAGCTATATAGCTATGAAGCATGGATACTTTGTTAAGGTCGACGTACCCGTATCGGATAAAATACTCTTCAGATGCTAAAGTATACGCATTTGATAGCATCATATGTATCCAATAATTAATAAAATATGTGGGTATTTCGTGGATACTTTTAAATGGAGCAAGATGTACAATTTTTAATTTTAATCTATACTCTCTTCTTTCGAATTCACATACAATACAATACATCAACAAAATTCCATTTGATTTTAAAGGCACGAGTGCTTTTTAAGTATTATAAAGAAATGAATTAATTACACTATAATTTTAGAAATAAATTCTTGTAAACAAACCAACTAGTTAAAATGTTGGTTTTGATTCTTTTAATCGGTCACGTTCATTTTATAGATATATCATAATGAGATGATAGTACACATTTTTCAAGGTAAAAAATGTTAATTTTGCTTACTATTGTTAAATAATTATTAAAAATTATAATTTTTAAATAGTTAAATAATAATAAAATATAAAATATATATTATTACAGACGTACCCTAGCCATACCCATATCTTATTTTTTTAGGTTTCGTCGTATCTAAATCATATCCGTATCCGTGCTTCCTAGCATTATAGTCATTCATGTTGGAGCATCCAACTGAACACTGATTAGCAATGAGTGGAGGAGCCCTTCAAGTAGATAAACCGATGTTGGTGGTCCTAATTATTCGATGTTGGGTTCAAGCTCTCTTAGTACACTCCTTCACATGGGACCCGGGCACGCACGCGGGGTCAATAAACAAATAAACAAGCAGCAAATAAACAACCGTGCATATTGAAAAATTCAATTGGGTAAAAGACTTGGCCACTGACCTCCCAAGGTCTAGCTCTGATAGCATGTTGAAGTATTAAACCTAAAACCAATTGACAATGAGTAGCCCCTCAAGTTTATAAACCAACCTTGGTGGTCCTAATTATTTGATGTGAAATACAAACTCTTTCAACAATTCTATCATCTGTTTTATAAAGATGTTGCCTCTTGATTCGCCATGCTTGGAATTATTATTTTACCCTGTAAAATGTCTGATTGGTAAGAATCTGTGAATCAGGTGGTCCAAATGTATTGGAAACATCGTCTCCAACAGTTTGGTTTTGCCTATTCTATTCTGGAAAAATTTGACTTTTTTTTGGTGGGATTGGGGGTCTTGTTGCACCTTTTTCTGTGTTTTTTCTTGTTTCTTCTGTTCTTGTATTTTGGCATAGAGTTATTCTTATGCTGATCTTGTTGTGGTTAGCATGCATAGTTAGTTCATGTTTAGGCGATAGTCTGTATTATCCCCAATATTCTCTCTCTCTCTCGTTTTGCTGATAGTTGAAGTTTGTTAGTCTGATATGGAAAGAATTTGGCCATTTGCTCTTGTCAATGTTGCAGCGTGAATTAGTTCATTGCTCACATTATATACTTGCTTCGAAGAGAAACTCTGTCGCATTGTCTGCACTGCATAGTTCGTTCTTCCCAGCAGAAGTTAGTTCAGAATCAGCTACGACCTCCCTTAAAGGCTATACAGATGGTTACAAATCAGGCAGCGAAGCCATCCAAAGATCAGATGACATAACAGTCGACAGCACAGTTGCTGGTAAACGGTTTATAAAATTTCGCATGTCAATGGACAATGACAGAAAGATGGATGACAGCTCTTCCTCACAACAGATTTCTATGCAAAAACCTGGGGAGAGGGTATCTCTTTCTGGGAAGACAATCCCAAATAGGCCTTCATCTGTTGTGTCTTGCAACCTTTCAGATGATGGGGAGAAGCCATCAAATTATCGGAAGGTAAAAACTTTGCTGCATTGCTGATTGGTGTGTTTCCATTGTAACTTATATTGTTTTTAATTTTTGACCTCTCTCAAATGAAGATGTTGACTGGTTCTCATAAATAACTCAGCATACGGAAACCTTTGAAAAGGAGCTTGTAATGACATCTGATCAAGCATCTATGAAGAATCAGCGATTACCTAAAGGTTTTGTTTATGTGCCAATCCAATGCCTTTTGAAGGAGAAGGAAACTATTCCGGATGAATGTTCTGAAGGACCATCATAACGTCATTGGTAGACCTGGTGGGGCATCTCCTGTTGGGATTTCTGTCATCCCATCAAAGGCTGTCCTGGATAAATATTTTCTGCCTGTGCTCTGCTGCATTGTTGTGATTGGAAAAAAGAATGGTGCATTTAATACCAAGATAAGGTCTCTGCCCAGCCAGTGCATCCCTATTATCGGTAATTCTGATTAGGGTAAAGAAGTTATGGCATCATTGTTGTATATTCATTGTGAGAGAGAAGACTGTACAGTTGGTTAGGTTTTTCCCATTGTTGTATATCTGAAGGGCTGGAATTGCTTCTCTCTTTTGTTTTTTCTTTTTGTTTTCCCCCTCAGGTGATTGGGTGAAACAGAAGCTCAGCTTCTTGTAATCGTACACCAGAGTTAGGTGTTGCCTACTGTGCAGGCCCCGTAAAGTTAATGTATATACAGTGTCAACGCTCAAAGCAAATTGGTGCAGAATCAGATAGATAAAAGAGCATTTAATTTAGCTGGCAAAATGCTAGCAGATTGATTGGTCTTGCTCAGCTTTTAGTTTTTTGCGCTTTATGGATTCACTTACTTGTTTATGTAGAAAGTGTATAATTTTGATAGTTCTCCCTGACCGAAGTTTCCGCTGTGCCTCTTTCTGGTACTGTTTCTGGGTCTTGGTATTCTGCTTTAGTTTGTGGCAAACAAATTTCTTCTCCTTTTTTTTTTGTTGGGGTAGGGTTGTGGGTTCCCTTCCTGGCAGATATTTGACATTTGTTGGAGAATTTATATATATTTGGAAATTTATATGACTTAATTTTTTTCTGATGAAATGATATTTGTGATGCGTTTTTTAATGTTTTGCTCTTCTAGTTGTATTTTACCTTGCTTTGTTTTTTCTTTTTAAAGTTAGTGCCATGTAAGTGCAGATAAAGGATTTGTAGGATACTTGTGCTCTCTCATTCGTTTTGGATTTTCGGATCTTTCTTCAATTCCAGGGAGACTTATGTTTGAATATATTTAGCTTATGAGATGCTATGGTGCCCAGTGATGGGCTCCTTGTGCGTTTTCTGCAGCATGTGTCTCAATGGACCTAGCAGTTTTTGGTAAAGGTACTGAAGGTGAGATCTTTCATTTGTAGACTCTTGCAGTGGTTATTCTCTTGTAAGTAAAAATTGCAAAGGTTGCTGTTTATAGATATTCCTTTTGACTCTAATTCTTCTGTCTTCACCTATTGATATTTTTCACTTGCCTGCGATGGTCATCCTCCCGATAGTTAGGCAGTTTAAGGTTGGAACACTTGTTCTTGTGATTTTCCTAGCTGCTTGGTGCTATATCTTATTTCACAAGTGGAAATTTGTTCCCTGGTTGCCTTTCGAAGTTCTAAATCTTCGTTGTTTCTTTATCTCTTGGTGGTTTGGTGAGTTGATTCAACTTAATTCTTTTGGTAAATATCACTCACACCCCTTGACATTTAGTTTTATTATACAAACACCTCTTCACATTTTAAAAATTACACTAAGACCCCAATAGATGGATGACATTAGCGGTATTAACGAAAAGACTTTTTACCCTTTCTTTAATTACTCAAATCCATGTCCAGATCCAAACCCATTGCCCATGCCCAAGTCAACAACCATGACCTCGAATCCTTAACCCGTGATTATGCCTGAATCCCCTCCCCATCCCTGAATCCCCTCCCCATCCTTGAATCCCTGAACTTTCCCATCTGTGAATCCCCCTTGAGTAGTGGGATTAGGCGAAGGAAGGATGGTGCTCTCTCTCTCTCTCTCCGTATTACGGTGGTGGATGGAGGTAGTTTTTTTTTTCTCTGCTAAATAAAGATGGAGGTGGTTGTTGCTAGTTTGGGTGGTGGTTTTTATGGTGGGGATTTTGGCGAGTAATTCAAAAGAGGATAAGGGTGTATTTCGAGTGACTGACTCGAAGGTGGGATGGTGGGTTTTTAGTGGTGTTCGTGGTGGTGGGTTTTGGAATGGTGGATTACGGTGGAATGGATAGTGGGTTTTGAAATGGTGAAGACGTTGGTAGAAGATTTTCGGTGATGTTGGGTGGTGGATTTTCGGTGGTGGTGGTCGTGGGTTTTGGAATGGTGGGGTTTTCGGTGGTGTGGGTGGTTGGTTTTTTGCAGCTGTGGGGGATTATGTATAGTAGTAGGGTAGTTAAGTAGAGGATTAAAACTAATTTGATATGATTAAGTAATTAATTTATAATTATGATTAATTTGGCATAATCAAATAATTTGAATTTTTTGGGATTGTGATTAGTGTGGTCATTAATTGTAAAGAGTTGTTTAATGATGAATTATTTTAGTCCTATATATAGATTTATTGCTATTTAAATATTTAATCAAATAGATTAGTGTAATAAAATAATTTAATTTGTTGTATCATTACTTATGAAAAATATAATTTGTGTATAACTGAATAATTAAAAAAGGAAATGTAAAAAGAGAAGGGTATTTTTGGCATTTTAATTATTTTTTTATAAGATCAACCTTGATTGACTGTTAGTCTTCCTAACGTCTGTTAGGCCGAAGGGGTCTTATTAGTACAAGTTTCAAAATGTCAAGGGGTCTCAGTATATTTTCTAAAATGTGAGAAGATGTTCATATAATAAAATCAAACATTAGGGGGTGTGAGTGATATTTATCCTAATTCTTTTATTTCAATTTGATAGGTCCAAGAATCGTTCATGGGACTAATTATCACCGTTTGGGTCGAGCTCGTACGCGCTGGTCCCCTGGCTGGTTGAAACTGCAGATGCCCATAATGATAAGATAAGGAGCAATGCTACTTAAATTTAAAAATTAGACTTGATAATTATAATTATTGATTTCACTATGGGTCCTATCATTTATTGAGACCCACTACGTATTCAATAATTATTATTATCAAGTTTAATTTTTAAGTTCATGTAACATTATTCTAATGATAATAAGTACGAAAATATTACTATGTGCTAGGACTTCAGATAAATTACACGTGTCTATTAATTGTATGTTATTGTTAGGACTTCTCTTTGGTGAGAGTTTACTTGAGATGACTTTACGAGTTTGTCAAATTTCTCTTTACTCATTTCATTAAACAACACCTTATGTATTTATCTTCTTGGCAAAGAAAAGGAGAAAATTTCTTAGTTATTGCCACTCTGAGATCCAGGGCTTTGAATCATTTTGTTGTTGGTGACAAATTTGTGTGTTTATGTGTGTATATTTATCTATGTAATAAGGTAAATGGATTTTTGAATTTCACAGATAAATAAAGGTTCAGACAATTTCAAGACAAAACAAAAACATATCTTACGGACAGTCTTAACAAAAAAAACGACTGAAATCATTTCATAATTTTTGATCCAATAAAACAAATTAAGTCTTGAAATATTTTTTCCATCCTATGACACTTTCTATTTTTGAATCCCAAAAACTCATGCACCTCGATTACACGTTTTCTCTCATCCCTGTCCCTTGTCTCTATGGTCTCTCGATTCTTCTCCGTAATTTCCCAACTCTCTCTCTCTCTCCCCCAATTCAAAAATAGCTTTACCCAATTTCTCTCTCCAGCAAGCCTCTATCTTCTCGCCCTTTTCTCTCTAGTTTTTCTTTCTTTCTCTTTTCATCCCTTTCTCAAATCTCTTTCATTACCCTTCACTTCGGCGACCCTCCTCCCACACGCATGCACACAACCTCCTTTTATCGTTATTGCTCAGTCACTGTCGTTGCCTAGCCCATCGCCATTGACCCTCCCCCCACTAGTATCCTCCACCATTCCATCGACACAAGCATCTCTATCTCTCTTTCTTCCTCTCTCTCCCTTCTCTGATTCCTCACTTGAGCCACTTAGTGTGTACTACGACCATCCACACCTAGCGACTTTGGAAACTACCCAGGTTGGTCCTTCTTTCTCTCTCTCTCCCTAATCCCCCTCACACCCAAAAACGTCTCTGTAAACGCAACACAACACATAACATCCCCCCCCCCCCAAACAATACCCATTCCATGGATCTCATTAGCCTCTCCAATAAGGCAGGAGCCACTACTGGTAGCCCATTGGTACCAAGGATCTCAACCACTATAGGAACAGGACCAATGCGCAAGAAAACAAGTCTCTTAGGAGGAATCAACCTCTTAAAAGGCTTTGGACCTCCATCCACATCACTAATTATCCTCGTCAGATCAGATAGGCTCAATGGAGGCCTCTCCACTATAAAAGCTGGCAATGAAGAATAGGTTATAAGCAAAAAAAAAAGCTTCCACATAAAGAGATGCAAATGAAACTTTTACTCACTCATGTTGGTAGGGGTATCCCAAAGTTAGGGAACGTGAAGAGCTTCTATTGCAGCTGCCTTAAACTCCTAGGCATCTCCTAAGACAAGGAAGAAATTACCCTCCCAACTAGCAGGAGGATTAGGAAGTTCAGAAATTAGCTCAAGCATCCTGCCTCTCCTGACAAATTGGTGGAAGTCTTGGTAAGTAGGAGCCAAGCGAAAAAGATTGATAAACTCGACCACGGTTGGAGAATCTCCTAGCCCTATCAGATGCTAGAAGTCCATAATGCCAACCAAGATGCCCTATCACTCCATGAAGACCCGGGCGAGGTATCAATTGAAAAGGCGAAGGACAACCTTGATGATTGGGGGTAGAGGAAACTGAAGACCAGCCTCAAAGACGTACTCAAAGAAGAAGATTCTTCTCACAGAATAAGTATTGCAGGGAAATTCTAGAGGGGGGATATGAACTAGGACCCCAATAAGAAAACCGTAACATTCCATGATGCCTGTCAGACAATCCATGGTCATATCGCTAGGTACTCAGAGGTTAGCCCAAGCAAGATCCATTCCACAAAAGAGTCTAATTTGTGCCTGTCACAAAGTAGCATCCATAACAAGAGAAGAAATGGGACTGCAAGCTGCAAAGGAATTCTATAAGAAGAAGATCTCAAGATGACGGTTATTTAGTTTGATCGCCTCCTAAATCTTCCTTGTTGGATTTGCAGTATCCCCTACAGTTTCTCTAGCCAACCCGAATAACTCCTCAGCAGCAGCCTTTACAGGCTTCTCTTCGTCATCCATAGGAGGTTTATTACTCACTTTTTCCCCATCCTCTTCCTTTTTATCTCCCCCAGCCATCGCTGCTGCATCATCTTCTAGAATGAACTTGGAGAAGTCCAAGCTGGAAAATTTCTTATGAGCTTGTTTCCTAAAGTCCTCAAAGCCATCCACATAGTATTCAAGAATCTCCTCCTTGAATTCATTGGAGTCCTGATACTTTGTCAAAATAGTCGCCCCAACAGACTTGACCTCGAGCTCTTTTTGCTACAGCTTAAGGGAAAGGTCAAGACTGAGAAAAAGCTTCCTTCTCATCTTCTAGCTCCTTACTCCTCATAGACAACTTGGAGGATTTGGCCACAAAATTTTCAGCTTAACCAACAGCTCATTCTTAGCCTTGAGGACCTTATACTGGTCCTTCTTAGTAGTAGAGAGGCGGCTAAGGTCTTTTTGGCTTCTTTCATGAGCCTTACAAAGTCTTCCAGAGATTTTATCAACTTTGCATCTATTATTTTTAGCTGAGAATATAGAACTAGAAATTTCTCTTCATAGGCTTTCTTCTTGCCTAAAGTGATGTAAGAAAGGCTTGAGGTAAGAATAGCAAACTGAAAAATAAAGGAGGAGAGTTAAGATGGAAAAGAAAGGAGACAAGTTCAAAATGTATGGGGGCCTCACCTTCTTGATGGCTAGGGCTAGATTCTTGGTCAACTAGGATGGCCCTAGGTTAAAGGTAGCTTGCAC